TGGACATCACTACAAGGATTTTAGAAACCAACAATGGTGAAGCATCTTGTAGATAAAGCCAGCAATGGGTCACATTTCTGAAAAGTGGTCGGGATTTATGAATATATTGCATTATTACATCAATTTCTCTTCAAATACAGGATCTTCTGAAGTCTTGCTTGAAGGAGATGTGATGTTTCCCAAAACCAGAAATGCTCTCTACTGCTTCAACAACCAATGTTTCTGGAATAAAAACTCTGACAACATAGTGGAGATCCCTTACATAGTCAGCAGAGAATTCTGTACGTGAATCTCCTTCATTCATTGCACATATCTACGATTCATTTAGATGCCATTTTAAACATGTGGACCCTTTTTGCAGCCAATTTTGACAAATCAGTGATTGAGAACGCCATGTCGGTCTTTCACGCCAAAACCTGCATCCGCTTTGTGGCCAGATCATCTCAGACCGACTACATCAGTATTGAGAACAAAGATGGGTGAGAACACTATCCCAACAAGAAACATTTAACAGACCTTTAACAGATCAATATTTAACCCCTTTATTTCCTCTCTCCTCTCAGGTGCTTCTCTGCTCTAGGTAGAACTGGTGGAAAACAGGTGGTCTCCCTCAAAAGGGACGGCTGTATTTACAATGGCATCGTACAACATGAGCTCAATCATGCCCTGGGATTCTACCACGAGCAAACTAGGAGCGATCGTGACAAGTATGTCAAAATCAACTTTGAGAACATCTCTCCTGATATGGCCTACAACTTTGAGAAACAGAACACCAACAACCAAAAAACCCCATACGACTACGGCTCCATCATGCACTATGGAAGAACTGCCTTCGCCATTCAGCCCTGGCTGGAAACCATCACTCCCATTCCCGATGGGACAGTGGAAATCGGACAGAGGCAGGGATTGTCCAAAATTGACGTTCTGAGGATCAACAAGCTGTATGAATGCTGAAGATGAGGCTTGCACACATAATTGAATATAGTTCATGTTTCTGTAGATGAATAATGTAGTGAGATTATGCTTTCTGTCTTTTAATGGTGTTGGATTTCTGAAATGTGTGATTGTGTTGGGTTGGGGAAAATAAAGGTGAACTGCAAGACAAACTCAGACTTTATTTGTGATTCAATGTCAAGTTTGAGAAAGTGCGTGATTGTAGCATTAAAGGTGTCCTTTAGCTTCTCCTGGATCCCAATTAAAGCCACCTTTAGGAGGACTGGGCACAGTATATGATGTATGCATTTCAACAAAATATATTTTTTGGTGGGGGCTGCAAAATGCCATAATGTAGATTTTGAAAGATTTTTGAGATTTAGTTCTGGTGTAATCATATGTTGTTCACAGCTGAAAAGGGAGTTTTCCCGTTTGACACCTCAATTTTAAAGACCTTTATTGTGCCAAGACCCTCTTCTGGAGTCTGTTGCTCTTGCATCCTCTAGTAAAAAAAAAACAACTTTCAAAGTTGGCAAAGATTGAGAAAGTCTCGAGCAGACATAAATCTGATCACCTGAAGCACAAAGTCAGCCAAAGATGCAGTTCTAGACATGTTCAGAAGTTCTGGTGAAAATAAGGGCTGTGTTCACAATAGACTTTGGTTCCAGAAAATTGTCAGGGAGCATTCTATATGAACACAAGCCAGAGCCAGAATGCTGGAAAATTTGGCACTCATACAACACCCAAGTAATAATACTGGGATAAATCATAGAAAATATCATTGTGAAAAGAGCCAGAGCCGATTCTGTGTCAGGTGTGTGTTGCAGTGATGATCTTAGTTATTGTGGAACTATTTGACTGGAGGAAGAACAGTAAAAAAATTGCATATTGACAAAGATACAAGAAAATAACAATCGCTACAAACAAGAGTGATATCAAGATCAGGGATCTACTTCCTATCCAGGGAGGTGACAAATGAACAAGCAGCTTAATGGCACAATAAACAATGTTATTGTTTGCTGGGAGGATAACACAATAAGAGCGGGACTTTTGAACACGTATGTTAATCGTTTTGAACATGTATGTTACACGTTTTGAACACGTGTGTTACACGTTTTGAACATGTATGTTACACGGGAACGCTCTGGCCTTGTAGATGAACAAAATAACACTATGCAAGAGCAGTTACCAGACAACATCCCCTCCACCCAGAATCGCTACGTAAATGAGATTGACAACTTCTTGTCTGTGATGTTAAAATCTAAATAAATTTTGAGCATTTTTTTTTCTGCTGTATTGCAAAAACTGATTATAACATCTGGAGTACAAAATAAAATAAATAACTTTTGTAAAAATCTAATTAGAAACTTTTTTGATCTAAACATTAAACCTCAAAGAGTTGAACTGTGACTTTTCTTTATCTAGTTATGATGCAGTACAGTTTAATGTGTAAAATGCAGTATCATTGTTATGCGTAGTTAAACGATTAAACTACTTTATTAATCAGCGAGGTTGTTTTGTCATTGTTTGAAATAATTTGGCTTTTCAGTAACAAAACAATTATATCAATTAAGAAGCGGTGTAGTGCAATGAAATACTATATTACTACATTTCTCCTGAACATAATTTAGCAATTCACAGTAATTGTCCTATTTTCCCTGCAAATCTGAAGCTTCCAGTTTAGCTATAAGCAAAAATGTTTCTATTAAATAACTAGTTGTCCATCTTGCTAATATTTTTGTGGTCGTTTACTAATCTCTGTAATGAACTCAGATGTTCTTACAAATAAGGATTCATTTGTAATCTACCAACAGAGCATATTTAAGGTATTGTGGACCATCCCTGTACACCACTGTCTTAGGGCTTGTGGTAAAGTCCAAAAAATACAGCATGCCCCTTTTAGGGAATTAGTTAAACAAACTGAGGTACATTTTATGATTGTCTAAAGTTTTGGACCAACAGGCGAGGTCAGAGTTTCCTCCCTGAAGGTACACATTTTAGACTCTGGACACCAAGACCCTACCCATAATCCTCCAGTAGACCCACCTACTCAGGTGAATATAAAGTCCAGACAGAACAGCTCGTAGGCATCAAATCTCAGCACAGGAGCATCCTGAACATCTCCACACACTGAGGCAACATGGACACAAGAGCCTCTCTCTCCATTCTTCTGCTGCTTTTTGGCATCGCCCAGGCGTCTCCTCTCATGGTAAGGTCCTTTCTAGTCTTTCCCTTAAATGATTAACAGTCCTCAAATGATTTGTATTAAACATCTCTGTTTCTACCACCAGGAGCAGATGTCTGATGATGTGTTTGTCTCAGAGCCTGAACCTGTGGACATCACTACAAGGATTTTAGAAACCAACAATGGTGAAGCATCTTGTAGATAAAGCCAGCAATTGGTCACATTTCTAAAAAGTGATCTGGATTTATGAATAAATTGCATTATTTCATCAATATGATTCTCTTTAAATACAGGATCTTCTGAAGTCTTGCTTGAAGGAGATGTGGTGTTTCCCAAAACCAGAAATGCTCTCTACTGCTTCAACAACCAATGTTTCTGGAATAAAAACTCTGACAACATAGTGGAGATCCCTTACATAGTCAGCAGAGAATTCTGTACGTGAATCTCCTTCATTCATTGCACATATCTACGATTCATTTAGATGCCATTTTAAACATGTGGACCCTTTTTGCAGCCAATTTTGACAAATCAGTGATTGAGAACGCCATGTCGGTCTTTCACGCCAAAACCTGCATCCGCTTTGTGGCCAGATCATCTCAGACCGACTACATCAGTATTGAGAACAAAGATGGGTGAGAACACTATCCCAACAAGAAACATTTAACAGACCTTTAACAGATCAATATTTAACCCCTTTATTTCCTCTCTCCTCTCAGGTGCTTCTCTGCTCTAGGTAGAACTGGTGGAAAACAGGTGGTCTCCCTCAAAAGGGACGGCTGTATTTACAATGGCATCGTACAACATGAGCTCAATCATGCCCTGGGATTCTACCACGAGCAAACTAGGAGCGATCGTGACAAGTATGTCAAAATCAACTTTGAGAACATCTCTCCTGATATGGCCTACAACTTTGAGAAACAGAACACCAACAACCAAAAAACCCCATACGACTACGGCTCCATCATGCACTATGGAAGAACTGCCTTCGCCATTCAGCCCTGGCTGGAAACCATCACTCCCATTCCCGATGGGACAGTGGAAATCGGACAGAGGCAGGGATTGTCCAAAATTGACGTTCTGAGGATCAACAAGCTGTATGAATGCTGAAGATGAGGCTTGCACACATAATTGAATATAGTTCATGTTTCTGTAGATGAATAATGTAGTGAGATTATGCTTTCTGTCTTTTAATGGTGTTGGATTTCTGAAATGTGTGATTGTGTTGGGTTGGGGAAAATAAAGGTGAACTGCAAGACAAACTCAGACTTTATTTGTGATTCAATGTCAAGTTTGAGAAAGTGCGTGATTGTAGCATTAAAGGTGTCCTTTAGCTTCTCCTGGATCCCAATTAAAGCCACCTTTAGGAGGACTGGGCACAGTATATGATGTATGCATTTCAACAAAATATATTTTTTGGTGGGGGCTGCAAAATGCCATAATGTAGATTTTGAAAGATTTTTGAGATTTAGTTCTGGTGTAATCATATGTTGTTCACAGCTGAAAAGGGAGTTTTCCCGTTTGACACCTCAATTTTAAAGACCTTTATTGTGCCAAGACCCTCTTCTGGAGTCTGTTGCTCTTGCATCCTCTAGTAAAAAAAAAACAACTTTCAAAGTTGGCAAAGATTGAGAAAGTCTCGAGCAGACATAAATCTGATCACCTGAAGCACAAAGTCAGCCAAAGATGCAGTTCTAGACATGTTCAGAAGTTCTGGTGAAAATAAGGGCTGTGTTCACAATAGACTTTGGTTCCAGAAAATTGTCAGGGAGCATTCTATATGAACACAAGCCAGAGCCAGAATGCTGGAAAATTTGGCACTCATACAACACCCAAGTAATAATACTGGGATAAATCATAGAAAATATCATTGTGAAAAGAGCCAGAGCCGATTCTGTGTCAGGTGTGTGTTGCAGTGATGATCTTAGTTATTGTGGAACTATTTGACTGGAGGAAGAACAGTAAAAAAATTGCATATTGACAAAGATACAAGAAAATAACAATCGCTACAAACAAGAGTGATATCAAGATCAGGGATCTACTTCCTATCCAGGGAGGTGACAAATGAACAAGCAGCTTAATGGCACAATAAACAATGTTATTGTTTGCTGGGAGGATAACACAATAAGAGCGGGACTTTTGAACACGTATGTTAATCGTTTTGAACATGTATGTTACACGTTTTGAACACGTGTGTTACACGTTTTGAACATGTATGTTACACGGGAACGCTCTGGCCTTGTAGATGAACAAAATAACACTATGCAAGAGCAGTTACCAGACAACATCCCCCTCCACCCAGAATCGCTACGTAAATGAGATTGACAACTTCTTGTCTGTGATGTTAAAATCTAAATAAATTTTGAGCATTTTTTTTTCTGCTGTATTGCAAAAACTGATTATAACATCTGGAGTACAAAATAAAATAAATAACTTTTGTAAAAATCTAATTAGAAACTTTTTTGATCTAAACATTAAACCTCAAAGAGTTGAACTGTGACTTTTCTTTATCTAGTTATGATGCAGTACAGTTTAATGTGTAAAATGCAGTATCATTGTTATGCGTAGTTAAACGATTAAACTACTTTATTAATCAGCGAGGTTGTTTTGTCATTGTTTGAAATAATTTGGCTTTTCAGTAACAAAACAATTATATCAATTAAGAAGCGGTGTAGTGCAATGAAATACTATATTACTACATTTCTCCTGAACATAATTTAGCAATTCACAGTAATTGTCCTATTTTCCCTGCAAATCTGAAGCTTCCAGTTTAGCTATAAGCAAAAATGTTTCTATTAAATAACTAGTTGTCCATCTTGCTAATATTTTTGTGGTCGTTTACTAATCTCTGTAATGAACTCAGATGTTCTTACAAATAAGGATTCATTTGTAATCTACCAACAGAGCATATTTAAGGTATTGTGGACCATCCCTGTACACCACTGTCTTAGGGCTTGTGGTAAAGTCCAAAAAATACAGCATGCCCCTTTTAGGGAATTAGTTAAACAAACTGAGGTACATTTTATGATTGTCTAAAGTTTTGGACCAACAGGCGAGGTCAGAGTTTCCTCCCTGAAGGTACACATTTTAGACTCTGGACACCAAGACCCTACCCATAATCCTCCAGTAGACCCACCTACTCAGGTGAATATAAAGTCCAGACAGAACAGCTCGTAGGCATCAAATCTCAGCACAGGAGCATCCTGAACATCTCCACACACTGAGGCAACATGGACACAAGAGCCTCTCTCTCCATTCTTCTGCTGCTTTTTGGCATCGCCCAGGCGTCTCCTCTCATGGTAAGGTCCTTTCTAGTCTTTCCCTTAAATGATTAACAGTCCTCAAATGATTTGTATTAAACATCTCTGTTTCTACCACCAGGAGCAGATGTCTGATGATGTGTTTGTCTCAGAGCCTGAACCTGTGGACATCACTACAAGGATTTTAGAAACCAACAATGGTGAAGCATCTTGTAGATAAAGCCAGCAATTGGTCACATTTCTAAAAAGTGATCTGGATTTATGAATAAATTGCATTATTTCATCAATATGATTCTCTTTAAATACAGGATCTTCTGAAGTCTTGCTTGAAGGAGATGTGGTGTTTCCCAAAACCAGAAATGCTCTCTACTGCTTCAACAACCAATGTTTCTGGAATAAAAACTCTGACAACATAGTGGAGATCCCTTACATAGTCAGCAGAGAATTCTGTACGTGAATCTCCTTCATTCATTGCACATATCTACGATTCATTTAGATGCCATTTTAAACATGTGGACCCTTTTTGCAGCCAATTTTGACAAATCAGTGATTGAGAACGCCATGTCGGTCTTTCACGCCAAAACCTGCATCCGCTTTGTGGCCAGATCATCTCAGACCGACTACATCAGTATTGAGAACAAAGATGGGTGAGAACACTATCCCAACAAGAAACATTTAACAGACCTTTAACAGATCAATATTTAACCCCTTTATTTCCTCTCTCCTCTCAGGTGCTTCTCTGCTCTAGGTAGAACTGGTGGAAAACAGGTGGTCTCCCTCAAAAGGGACGGCTGTATTTACAATGGCATCGTACAACATGAGCTCAATCATGCCCTGGGATTCTACCACGAGCAAACTAGGAGCGATCGTGACAAGTATGTCAAAATCAACTTTGAGAACATCTCTCCTGATATGGCCTACAACTTTGAGAAACAGAACACCAACAACCAAAAAACCCCATACGACTACGGCTCCATCATGCACTATGGAAGAACTGCCTTCGCCATTCAGCCCTGGCTGGAAACCATCACTCCCATTCCCGATGGGACAGTGGAAATCGGACAGAGGCAGGGATTGTCCAAAATTGACGTTCTGAGGATCAACAAGCTGTATGAATGCTGAAGATGAGGCTTGCACACATAATTGAATATAGTTCATGTTTCTGTAGATGAATAATGTAGTGAGATTATGCTTTCTGTCTTTTAATGGTGTTGGATTTCTGAAATGTGTGATTGTGTTGGGTTGGGGAAAATAAAGGTGAACTGCAAGACAAACTCAGACTTTATTTGTGATTCAATGTCAAGTTTGAGAAAGTGCGTGATTGTAGCATTAAAGGTGTCCTTTAGCTTCTCCTGGATCCCAATTAAAGCCACCTTTAGGAGGACTGGGCACAGTATATGATGTATGCATTTCAACAAAATATATTTTTTGGTGGGGGCTGCAAAATGCCATAATGTAGATTTTGAAAGATTTTTGAGATTTAGTTCTGGTGTAATCATATGTTGTTCACAGCTGAAAAGGGAGTTTTCCCGTTTGACACCTCAATTTTAAAGACCTTTATTGTGCCAAGACCCTCTTCTGGAGTCTGTTGCTCTTGCATCCTCTAGTAAAAAAAAAACAACTTTCAAAGTTGGCAAAGATTGAGAAAGTCTCGAGCAGACATAAATCTGATCACCTGAAGCACAAAGTCAGCCAAAGATGCAGTTCTAGACATGTTCAGAAGTTCTGGTGAAAATAAGGGCTGTGTTCACAATAGACTTTGGTTCCAGAAAATTGTCAGGGAGCATTCTATATGAACACAAGCCAGAGCCAGAATGCTGGAAAATTTGGCACTCATACAACACCCAAGTAATAATACTGGGATAAATCATAGAAAATATCAGTGTGAAAAGAGCCAGAGCCGATTCTGTGTCGGGTGTGTGTTGCAGTGATGATCTTAGTTATTGTGGAACTATTTGACTGGAGGAAGAACAGTAAAAAAATTGCATATTGACAAAGAAACAAGAAAATAACAATCACTACAAACAAGAGTGATATCAGGATCAGGGATCTACTTCCTATCCATGGAGGTGACAAATGAACAAGCTGCTTAATGGCACAATAAACAATGTTATTGTTTGCTGGGAGGATAACACAATAAGAGCGGGACTTTTGAACACGTATGTTACACGTCAGACGGGAACGCTCTTGCCTTGTAGATGAACAAAATCAAACTATGCAAGAGTAGTTCCCAGAAAACATCCCCCTCAGCCCTCCACCCAGAATCGCTACGTAAATGAGATTCACAACTTCTTGTCTGTGATGTTAAAATCTAAATAAATTTTGAGCATTTTTTTTTCTGCTGGATTGCAAAAACTGATTATAACATCTGGAGTACAAAATAAAATACATAACTTTTGTAAAAATCGAATTAGAAATTTTTTTGATTAAAACATTGAACCTCAAAGAGTTGAAATGTGACTTTTCATTAACTAGTTATGATGTAGTACAGTTTAATGTTTAAAATGCAGTAGCATTGTTATGCGTAGTTAAACGATTAAACTACCTTATTAATCAGCCAGTTTGTTTTGTCATTGTTTGAAATAATTTTGCTTTTCAGTAACAAAACAATTATTTCAATTAAGAAGCGGTGTAGTGCAATGAAATACTATATTACTACATTTCTTCTGAAAATATTTTAGCAATTCACAGTAATTGTCCTATTTTCCCTGCAAATCAGAAGCTTCCAGTTTAGCTATAAGCAAAAATGTTTGTATTAAATAACTAGTTGTCCATCTTGCTAATATTTTTGTGGTCGTTTACTAATCTCTGTAATGAACTCAGATGTTCTTACAAATAAGGATTCGTTTGTAATCTACCAACAGAGCATATTTAAGGTATTGTGGACCATCCCTGTACACCACTGTCTTAGGGCTTGTGGTAAAGTCCAAAAAATACAGCATGCCCCTTTTAGGGAATTAGTTAAACAAACTGAGGTACATTTTATGATTGTCTAAAGTTTTGGACCAACAGGCGAGGTCAGAGTTTCCTCCCTGAAGGTACACATTTTAGACTCTGGACACCAAGACCCTACCCATAATCCTCCAGTAGACCCACCTACTCAGGTGAATATAAAGTCCAGACAGAACAGCTCGTAGGCATCAAATCTCAGCACAGGAGCATCCTGAACATCTCCACACACTGAGGCAACATGGACACAAGAGCCTCTCTCTCCATTCTTCTGCTGCTTTTTGGCATCGCCCAGGCGTCTCCTCTCATGGTAAGGTCCTTTCTAGTCTCTCTCTCTTAAACCATTAACAGTCCTCAAATCATTTGTATTAAACATCTCTGTTTCTACCACCAGGAGCAGATGTCTGATGATGTGTTTGTCTCAGAGCCTGAACCTGTGGACATCACTACAAGGATTTTAGAAACCAACAATGGTGAAGCATCTTGTAGATAAAGCCAGCAATGGGTCACATTTCTGAAAAGTGGTTGGAATTTATGAATATATTGCATTATTACATCAATTTCTCTTCAAATACAGGATCTTCTGAAGTCTTGCTTGAAGGAGATGTGGTGTTTCCCAAAACCAGAAATGCTCTCTACTGCCTCAACAACTACTGTTTCTGGAAGAAAAACTCTGACGACATAGTGGAGATCCCTTACATAGTCAGCAGAGAATTCTGTACGTGAATCTCCTTCATTCATTGCACATATCTACGATTCATTTAGATGCCATTTTAAACCTGTGGACCCTTTTTGCAGCCAATTTTGACAAATCGGTGATTGAGAACGCCCTGTCGGTCTTTCACGATAAAACCTGCATCCGCTTTGTGGCCAGATCATCTCAGACCGACTACATCAGTATTGAGAACAAAGATGGGTGAGAACACTATCCCAACAAGAAACATTTAACAGACCTTTAACAGATCAATATTTAACCCCTTTATTTCCTCTCTCCTCTCAGGTGCTTCTCTGCTCTAGGTAGAACTGGTGGCAAACAGGTGGTCTCCCTCAATAGGTACGGCTGTGTGTACACTGGCATCGTACAACATGAGCTCAATCATGCCCTGGGATTCTACCACGAGCAAACTAGGAGCGATCGTGACAAGTATGTCAGAATCAACTTTGAGAACATCTCTCCTGATATGGCCTACAACTTTGAGAAACAGAACACCAACAACCAAAAAACTCCATACGACTACGGCTCCATCATGCACTATGGAAGAACTGCCTTCGCCATTCAGCCCTGGCTGGAAACCATCACTCCCATTCCCGATGGGACTGTGGAAATCGGACAGAGGCAGGGAATGTCAAAAATTGACATTCTGAGGATCAACAAGCTGTATGGATGCTGAAGATGAGGCTTAAACACATAATTGAACATAGTTTGTGTCTGTTGATGAATCATGTAATCAGATTATGTTTCTGTCCTTTTAATGGTGTTGGATTTCTGAAATGTGTGATTGTGTTGGGTTGGGAAAAATAAAGGTGAACTGCAAGATAAACTAATACTTTATTTGTGATTCAATGTAAAGTTTAAGAAAGTGCTTGATTGTAGCATTAAAGGTGTCATTAAGCTTCTCCTAGACCCTAATTAAGGCCACCTGGCTAAACCTTAGGAGGACTGGGCACAAAATATGATTTATGCATTTCAACAAAATATATATATATATATTTTTTGTCAAAATACTATAATGTAGATTTTGAAAGATTTTTGACATTTAGTTCAGATGTCATATGTTCAGTTGAGAAGAAAGGATTCCTGTCTGATACCTACATTTTAAAGACCTTGTGCCAAGACCCTCTTCTGGAAGCAGTCGTAATATATCATTAAACTGGACTTAAATGTTTTTTGTATATATAAATGTGTATATAAATATATATATATATATGAAGAGTTCAGATGCAAAAGCCTCTAAATGCCATTTGAAATTTTGTTCTAGAATGACCATTTTTAACAAGCTTGTGCATTTAAGTTCAGTAATTTCACTTAAATGACAATTAATAGGTAATCTTCTTTGCCATTTAAGTGAAATTACTGAACTTAAATATACAAGCTTGTTAAAAATGATAACTTAGAGGCTTTTGCATCTGAACTCTTCATATATATATATATATATATATATATATATATTAGGGCTGTGCAAAAGTTAATTGCGATTAATCGCATCCAAAATAAAAGTCTGTGTTTACATAGTATATTTGTGTGTGCTGTATATAATTATTTTGTATATATAAATACACACACATGCATGTATATGTTTAAGAAAATGTGTTATTCCTATATAAAATATTTATATTTGTATAATATAGATTATGTATTTATATATATATACAGAATTTAAGCGCAAATAATTCTTAAATATATACATGCATGCATAGGTATTTATATATACAAAATAATTATATACAGCACACTCAAATATATTATGTAAAACAGACTTTTATTTTGGATGCGATTAATCGCAATTAACTTTTGCACAGCCCTAATATATATATATGTGTGTGTATGTGTATAGGGGGAAAAAAAATCAAGAATAAACAGTGAAATGTTTTTATCTTTGAACTAAAAACCTTTCTTAAATTATCAAAAGATACTATTTTTCTCAGCCTTTCTTAAGTTCCGTACCATAGTTTCGATGCAATGACACATGTTAGGCTGAAAAACTGTACATTAACATAACAAAGGCAAAGCTTATGACAGGTGCACATCTAAGCTCCAGAGAAGAACAAATCCTCCCCTATTCTTGGTCAACACCCAAATTCTGTTATTTTGTCACAAATAACAAGTCCAACCGCATTCCACAAAATCAGATATATTTTGATTTTGACGGTATATTATGTAGTTTTTAAAATATAAATCTTGGAGTTTATCACTCTCTCTGCATGTACTGATGAGCAAGACACAGTCTCAAATGCTCATCAATACTCATGATTTCAGATAATCAGATTTCAAATGCCCATCATACTCATGCATATTTCAGGTTATAGGTGTCTGTACATAAATGGGAAAGTAGTGATTGTTGCTATTTTGCAAAAGTAACTTCGATACCATAGTGAAAATTTACCAAGAATTGAGGTATTGTACTCCTTGCCTGCAAAAGACTTTAAAGAGGAATATTGGGTACAGTTGATCCAGTGAATAAAATGCACTTAAAGAAATAGTAAAGAAATTTCATGATGAGCTCAACTATCACCTCCAAATTTGATGTTGACGCAAATCATTTTGTTGTAGATCTGTATTAAGAAACCATTTAAAGTGTTTGGGACACTCCCTAATAGAGTTTTGGGGATCTTGATACAAAAAACGTAATTGCCTTTGTTTATTTCAGTGGATTAGCAAAACAATCTGTAAATTATCTGGTTGTGCAATGTTTTGGATTAACAGATGAGTTAATTACCTCCCTTTGGACACTAAGGCTCAACCCTGGTTGACCCACCTACACAGGTGAATATAAAGTTTAGGTTCAACCGCTCGCAGACACCAAATATCAGTCCAGGAGCATCCTAAACATCCCTACACTGAGACAACATGGACCCAAGAGCCTCCCTCTCTATTCTGCTGATTCTCTTCGGCATCTCCCAGGCGTCTCCTGTCAGGGTAAGACTTTTTCTAGTCTCTCAATGCCTCAGATGATGAACTTTCCTATAAAAGAGTAATATTTAACTTTTCTTTTTCTTTTTTCATAATCAGAAGCCTGTCCATCACAATGGGTTCTCACCCATACCTGGAAATGTGGACATCACAACAAAGATTTTGGAGTCCAACAATGGTCAGGCATCTTGTAGATTCCTGTTAAGCCAACAATGGGTTTTATAAAATAGTGAAATATATCTAAAATGTACTGATGAGAAATTTCATTAAAAAAACTTCTTTAAATACAGCATCATCGGTACACCTGATTGAAGGAGATCTGGTGTTTCCCAAAACCAAAAATGCTCTCTACTGCTACAACAACAACTGTTTCTGGAAGAAAAACTCTAGCAACCTTGTAGAGGTCCCTTATATAATAAGCAGTGAATACTGTAAGTAAATCATCTTTATTCATTTTAGCATAATATATGTGTGTGTAAATCATATTTAAAAACCTGTGGTACTTTTTCTTTCCAGCCTCTAGTGACATCTCTGTTATTCAGAATGCCATGTCCACCTTTCACAACAAAACCTGCATCCGCTTTGTGCTCAGATCATCTCAGACCGACTACATCAGTATTGAGAACAAAGATGGGTGAGGATACTCATACAATACAAATGAAAAATATTTAACTGACCTTAGCAAAACTCTTTTACAGTGAGTAAGATGTTAAACACAGATTGATAATATAAAATTCTCTTTTTCTCTCAGGTGCTACTCTTATCTTGGTAGAATTGGTGGCAAGCAGGTGGTCTCCCTCAAAAGAACTGGTTGTGTGTATCGTGGCATCGTACAACATGAGCTCAATCATGCTCTGGGCTTCTACCACGAGCAAAGCAGGAGCGATCGTGACAAGTATGTCAGAATCAACTGGGAGTACATCCCTACCAATTATGCCTCCAACTTTCAATTGAAGAACACTAACAATCAAAACACCACATATGACTACGGCTCCATCATGCACTATGGAAGAACGGCCTTCACTAACCAGACCGGAAAGGACACCATCACTCCCATTCCTGATGCGACGGTGGCAATCGGACAGAGGCAGGATATGTCTAACATCGACATCCTGAGGATCAACAAGCTATATGGATGTGCTGTTTAATCATTTATTATGTTTTATCCATATACAGATGAATAATGTAATGAGGTGATGGTCTTTGTCTTTTGATGGTTTTAAATTGGGTAAAAATGTTTGATTTTACACGGGAAAATAAAGCTAATTATGAGGTGATATTTTGTCTTGTGGTGGTGTTCAATTTCTGAAATGCGTGATTGATTCAGAAAAAAATATAAAAAAATATTTATTATCTCATAAATTAATTTCCTTCCACTTACATGATCTTTGCATGAGCCCTGGTGCTGGTTACCATGGAAGCGAAGAGTTCTCCTTTAACAGATGGGATGTCATCATAATACACAGCTTCTCCTGTAGCTTGTTGAAGGGCGGCCTGGTGAACATTGGGGCGTCCCACTGGGTCGCTAGAAGACTGAGTCTCTGGTACAAGCTGTAATTTAATTGGAATGTTGTGAGAACGTTTTTGTTATCAGACAACTCAAGCTTGACTCGGGTCTGCTCACCTGAAAAGAGTGGTTTCCTTGTGGTACCTCATTTTTGAAGGGCTTTAGAGCACTGACATACTCTATTGGCAAATCATTCACAGAAACCTCCTTTGGGGGAGAAAAAAGCATGAATTAAGTACATTGTCCCACTTTTAAACAAATTATAAGCATCATCATACCCTTTGTTGGAGTTCCAGCAGCACTTGCATGTAAAACTTAAAAAAAAAGCTGAGTACTAGAGCCTTGCGATATTCCTCCCGTCCACCAGGGGCAGTAGGGGGCACGGAGATTTCTCCTTCTAAGAGCTGCGTTCCCTCTACCAGAAGTTTCTCGTCCCATTTTCTGCCAAAAAAAAAAGTTAATTGACAGGAATGTTTACAATGCAGCTAAGATATCAGATTTTGCAATGTTGGCTGTTCTTATATACAGGATTTACGGATATAAATTATGCACGTCTTGTGATAGCTGTACCTTCCCATCAGCTCTTTACAGGTATGTCTGGCTTTTACCAGGGTAGGACCCACACCTCCATAAAAAATATACAGATGCTCCACCACATTTGAGTCATGACTGAACGATACCCTAATACCAGCATTCACTATGGAGAAGGCGAACTCTCTGCGCTGTGCCTGGCGAAATGCTGAAACAAACTCCCACTGAAAAACACAGGGATTAGTATTTAGCTTTTCAAAATGGCAAGTGAATTCGTAGCATATTTGTTGTTTTTAAAAAAAAACGAGAATAGATGGAAAAACAAAGACTATAAGTCTTTTAGGGCCAAGTTGAAACTTGACGTAGTTTGGTATTATTAAGTAGGCTTAGTTTCCTCCATTTTGAAGTATATACCGGTGTCGAGTGGGAAATATCAATAGCCAGCAGAACCTCATCTGGTCGTAGAGCTGTTTTACCAAAGTCTGTGAAAAACTCCTCACTTAGACAAATCTCTCGTGTACCATCTATATTTAAGGACAAAGGAACAAAAATGTAATTCTTATTTTAAAAAAAATGAATAGTTACTTCCCACGTTTAATATATTGGCAACAGAGAAAAAATGTGAAAAAATATATATTTCTACATTTAAATATAAAGTCCAAATACACTGACATTACCTTTGGAAACAATGTGTAGCGTGCACTCCGCCGCTGCGAGAATGCTGCTCAGGTCATATTTGGGGTTGGCACTCAGGATATTTCCACCGATGGTCTTGAAATTCCAACATAAACAAAGGTGTAACATGTAGACAACTGTTCTTCTTAATTCCTCATGCTGATTTGTTTTTGTTACTCACAGCCATGTTGCGTATTTGTTGGCTGGCCAAGCACTGTAGAGTCTGAACAAGGGCCTGGTAAACCCTGCTCTTTTCTGGGCCGAGTTCCTCAATTCCACGCAGGAGGACGTCCTTCAAAACAGACAAACTGCATCCTGCCCCTACAGTTATGCCTAAAAAAGTGTTGTTGAAAGTGTTGTTTGGGCTTTAATATTCACTATGTATTCACATATGTAATGGCGATGCTTTGTTTGAATGTGATTTACTATTGTTTTGCCATTTGATAGCACGAAGTTCTGGAATGCTTCCACCATAGATCACCAAAGGATTGACGGTTCCCTTCAGATTCATCTTCGGCCCTGTGAGAGAACAAAATCAGATGGATGGATGGATGGATAGTTGGATAGATAGATAGATAGATGGATGGATGGATGGATGGATGGATGAACTTCCTCTTGAAACCAACCTATGGTTGTGTTCCCCACCAGCAGAAGTGCGTTGGGGTATTCAGATTTCAATCTAATTAAATCTTTCAGATCTGCTGGGGAAATCCACCTGACCTTTTCGCCCTGAAAACAAAGTTGTTCTGCTTTTTTCTTTCCCATAATCTGATAGAAAGAAAGGATATAACAAAAATCAGTGGCCTGAAATATCCATGTTCTTATTAGCTACCACAAGAACTCAAACACTCAAAAAAATGCTGGGTTGTTTTAATCCAATTTTGGGTAAAATATGGGCAAACCCAACCATTGGGTTAAAAATGTAATTTAAAAATGTAACCCAACGGCTGGGTTTGTCCATATTTTACCCCAAATTGGGTTAAAACGACCCAAGAGTGAACGGTTTGCTTACCAGTAACTCTGGGGGAAAGATCAGATCCTGAGTTGGGTCGAGGGGTAAGACATCATCCAAGCTGAAAAGATTTCCAGATATCTACCAAAAATACCAGTAGTAGAAGAGTTTAACTTTGTCTGCTAAAAAGTAATAGGCGTTCTGTTGTGCTGTTCCACTAATAAAAAGTCACATTTAATTTGCATATGCATTTGTAAGAATTTCCATTTCTCATATTGTCTTACATCAGATTCATTGTTGTGGGAATTGCTGCTTTCCATGCAACATTTCCCATTTCCGTCACCATTTTGGCAACATATTGGAGTCTGGAAACATATTGGATCACATTATGAGCACATGTTAGTTTTCTTCAGTCAAAATCAATAGTTTTACAAATTGTTAAATGTACTGATTGTGACTTCTTTGTTGAAATGTTTTTATGTTGTACTAAAAGTTCAAAGCTATTACATCACAGAATGTCTTGAATCCATCAATTATCGGTCGATATCCAGTGCAACGACACAGGTTCCCTTAAAAGAGAGAAAACGCAAGGTTTTTAAATGTGTTTAAATTCGTAGTTTTCAAAATTGCGTGTATCTATATTTTTGTTACCTCCCAGTGTCTCTCGAATGTCCTCCATGTTGGGATGTGGGTTGTTTCTAAGTAATGTGTACATGGACATCACCATCCCAGGAGTACAGAACCCACACTGAGACCCATGAGCCTTTGCTATACGCTCCTAAACAAAACAAAACAATGTGGTTCTGGACAACCTATTCAAAGAACCTACTTTGAACATTGATATGTAGTTTGTCTCTTAGGTAGAATCAGGTACCTGAACAGGATGTAGTTTAGTCTTAGTACTTCCAATGCCCTCGACGGTCACCACCGCCGCACCGTGCAGAGCACAAATCGGCTGCAGACACGCGTTTACCGACCAGTGTCTGAAGAACGGATTAAGGACTATGAAACGATTTAATCCATAACTTTTTTAAATGAAAAATTCAATAAATTTGATAAAGTTTTTGCTTATTAAAGCATTGATTATGTCAAAAGATATTCCTTTCGTTTGTTTCATATAAAGGTTTTATACCGCTAGTTTTGATATATGAGTAAAAGATACAGCACAGTGTCCTGGATAGGGTCATATCTGGACAGCATCACCGTACAGGCTCCACATCCCCCTCCACCACAGCCATACTTTGTGCCCGTCAGACCAACTGGACACCAAAACATCATACAAGTAAATACAGGCTTGGTGAGTATAAAATCTTTAATATCCTTGGCTAAGTATCTACACCATTATTTGGAGAATGTTTGTCATATGGAAATTACCATACCCTTCCGTCGTAGGTAACCCAATAACATCTCTTCTGGATCAGCATTCTTCTCTAGTATCTTTACATAAAAATAGCAAAAACATGTAATGACTATATGCCATTGCTCAAATATCTTCAATTGATAACCATTAGCCATACACAGTTTGGTATGGTCGTGTCATGTGACAGGATTGGATTTCTGAGTATATCACACACTGATCACTGTAAAAATTTGTAATCACAACATTTTTTCTTTTGTCAAATCAACTTAAATAATTTATATAGTTCAGATAACATAATATTTTGAGTTTCTGATGATATTTTGATATTTTGAGTTCTGAAATCAATCTCCATTGCATTAACTCAATTTTCCCATTTCAATGAACTTAAAATTTTAAGGCAGCCAGGCTACTTAATTTTTTTAAGTTAAACCAACAATATTTTTTTTACAGTGATTTTATGTTACTTGTTTTGAGTTGAATTCTAAGAGAAATGGCGAAACATTGGAATAGATGAACATCAATCATATTTAGAAAGTGTATGTGTGTGACAAGGGCAAACACATGATGAACTGACTGTGTGCAGCGTAGAAAATCATTTTCATGGCATCATACATAAGAGGTAAAGATTTCTTTTTTGGCTGCTGGCTGACTGTCATGTGCCACGATTCAGACATGCACGTTTAGTCACGCCATTTTCTGCTGGTTATATGTTCAAGTTTGGTTATGTACTTTGAATATGAGTAGACTAAACATAAAAATGTTAATATTCATCACAGTGATAATTCCAGCAGAATCACTTTCCTTTTTTTTTGAGATAGTATTTCACAGCTTGTGACAATTGTGACAGCAACTTGAAATTGAAAATACTTTTATTTATGAACTAACACAATATAAAAGCCAATTACATATAAAGAATATTATGAGCCAAAAACTATTAAGAAAATGAAAAGTCCTCCACATATACGTGCCTTACATGTTCAAATCTGTAAACATTTAAAATCAGTATTTATAATTAAATCATACCTTCTTGCCATTAACGTAGAAGACAAGCTCACTGTTCACAGCTAGAGATGACATGATGAGTTGAGAAGGATATGTGATGGGAAGATGAGTTGTCACTGGAGATGCTCCTGGTTTACTAACCATCAGTTGAATGAGCGACTGACTGACTGACATCACATGTTAAAGGCTTTGCCCTGCCTTTCACGGTGAAATTCAGGAATGCGTGAAGAAGATGTGCGTGCA